AAAACTGAAAAATTAATAAAACTTGTTATTAAAAAAAAAGAGTTGGTTGTCCTATTTGTCAGAATGCTCTCCAGAAGCATTTATGGAAATTGTAAGGCTACTTGGGTTTTTCTCATAGCAAAAGATAAAAGAGGAAAAAAAGGAGCTGTTTTTGCTGTACACTGGAGTAGATAGGACCAGAAACATTCTATAAAGTTGCTCTCCTTCCCCTTAAGGAGGTGCAAAGAAAAATTTACCTCTTCTTGGCAGAGCAAATGAAACAAATCAATCAACTATGGATACTCTCTTCCAATGCAAAAAAAAAAAAAATACATTGTTTCCAGTCATTTAGACAATTATAAAATTACAACTAATAGTAAGTAATGAGTGGTTTATGGCGGAATAAAGGAATGAGAAAGAATGAACCAAAGGAAAAAAATACCCCTAGTATAATTGAAAATTGTTTTTAAACAAAATGAGAACTGGAAACATTCTGAAATCAAACTGAAGGTCTGAGAAAAGGAACAGAAAGACAAATAATTGATGGAAGACAGAGAGGTTTGTAAAAATCATAATCAGTTAATTATTCACAAGAAGCACTGCCACACATAGCACTGAAAAATATTGACTGATTGCAGCCTCAGGAGGACATGTATCAGTCCGTTTTCTTTCCTCCTGTCCAAAGAGCTGCGGTTGAGATGACCAATCTCAAGGTCTTTGATTTGAAGATGGACTGTTCATTCCTGAATGCAGGATGCCTTATTCCCACCAAGCTATGATGGGAATAATACCTCCAAATTTCACTTTGCTCAAGAAAGATTTTTACCTTTTCCCCCAATTTTAGATGTGCCATATAACGTTCAATGCATCATCCTTCATTTTATAAAACAATTCTTAACAGGAATTGAGGCATAGGAAGCAAGTCAAACACACATGCTCGGACTCAAATAACTTAAAAAAATCACTCAAAGTCACCCTACTTTGATCTGGTTCTGGGGTGATGCCAAGGCAAAGACTGGTTCTATTACTTTTGTTACTCACTTTGAAGATTTAAGATGGGGTACACAATGATTAAATAAATGAAAGCCCTTTTGTATATTCACTTGTCTTCTGCTATTTCCTATAATTCTCCTTTTTTTCCTCATTTCAGTATTTGACTAAGTCATTGTTTCTCGACCATGGCAGCTTTAAGATGGGTGGATCTCAACTCCCAAAAGGCTTGGAAGCTCTGGACCTAGTAGTTGTTCAGTATACTGTAGTGTTTTTAACTTTTATGAGACAATCATAATAGAAGAAAGGGAAAGATTCCAGTACAAAATCTTCCCCTTTTTACTCTATTCAGTATTAAAAGAGCCATTTCCAACTTGCCACTCTGTAAATGTTTGGATAGCGGCTACAAGTTAGTAGGAAATCTTTTTTCTCTCCACACATGACAGTATCAATCCAGGTGGCCTGTCCCCTTACCAATTGGTAAGAGGACACTGAAACAAATTGGACAGTCTAGCAACAAAAATGAATATAATAATAGTATTTCCTTTCAGATAATCCTCAAACTGCATCAGAATGGAAATCAGGCCAAACTTTTCAAAGGTCGGTGGAGGAGGAAGGGACAATGTGCGGGACAATTTTAGAGTCTTAAGATATTTGCAACCTGTGATCTTCTGCCCTGAACTCAAACCTCCTTTCCAAAAACAAATAATCAGTGTCCAATATTCTTATCCCAATATGCATTATATTTCAATATAATAGCTGTGATAATGAGCAGGAGCAAGTTTGATGATGGGATGGTAGAAAGAAAAGCTCAACAGCTTTTTCTCAGCCATCATCTTATTTAAATAAGATTTATCTAGTTTGCCAGATATATACTGTATATCTAGGAGCGAATGTCTTTTGAGGTAATTCATATACACCTTGAAATGATTTTTTGCTCAGTTAAAAATACTGAGAACTTTCATGCCTCTGGTTTATAAATATGGACTCTGTTGTCCCATTAGTCAAAATTGTCAAACAGGCAGCTACTTGTCTGATGATTTGTTAGTGCTTGTTTAGTTACTAACTAGAATGGACTTGAACTTCTTAAACTTGAGTATGCAATATGAAGAATAATAGTGTTCTTCATGTATGCCCCAAAGCCAGTGTACTCATTATGTGGATATTTATAAAACCAATGGACAAACTTAAGTTGTTGGAAAAACAAACATATCCAATCATTTGAAGAAAACAAATTGTGTTAAACATTTGTGCCTGCCAACTAAGAGGCACCAATTTCAGTGTGGCCAATAATTAGCAATTTAATCTCTTGTTTCAACTGACAAGCCTTCTCTTATAACAACAATTCATCTCTATGGTTGATTTTGCATTACTGAAACAAGTCAACTCTTTCATAAATACATCTAGGACAGAATTTTCTTGGCTATTCCTTAAATCAGTGGTGGCGAACCTATGGCATGGGTGCCAGAGGCAGCACACAGAGCCCTCTCTGTGGGCACGCGCGCCGTCGCCCCAGTCCTAGACCTTCAGCTGGGTTTTATAAAACCTTTTCGCTTTAGGCCTCTGCTGCCGTGTGCAAAAAAAAAAAAAAAAAAAGGTTCAATCAGTCAATTTCAACTTCTTACGGGGAAAAAAAAAGATCTTGCAAAGTTTGGATTGATTGAACTTTTTAGTCCCACCCAGTCTGCCGTTACCACCGCAGCCATGCCCACCCAATGGGCCACACCCAGCCAATGGCCACACCCACCCAGCACCCAACCATGCATAAATGGGTTTTGGGTTGCAGTTTGGGCACTCGGTCTCTAAAAGGTTCGCCATCACTGCCTTAAATCTTTTATTGGGAAATCAACCTGATCTTCATCTGCTCTCTGGAATGAATATTACTTTGAATGACACTTACTTCTGTGAGTTTTGTAATTGCTTTTTTAACGATACTTCCAACTAGACCTCCAAATTAGTGCATCGCTATAATCCTAAGTAACAATTTGTGAACAAGTATGCAGAGGGAAAAATGTGACTCCAAGTAAAATGGGAGAATAATGGTAACTATTTCTTATTTTAAACTAACCTGCTGTGCAGTTTTACTAACTGCTGGCCAAATGAATTCTAAAATTACATGAAAATGAAAGGAAGCAGATAATATGTGCAAATTAGGCTGGATGCTATCTCAATGACCGGTATTTCCTGGATTTTCACATAGCTCAGCAACCTTTTAAGAGCTGAGCTAATATTAAGGCTAATTTAAGCAGGCTCCTAAAAAAAAATGACCATGAAGGGATGGATGTTCTAAACAAGGGAAAAGAGCCAAATGAGCAGAAGAAAGAATGTCTCCTTAATTGCCAGTCCCTTTGCAGGAAATGCCAGGCCAAATCCAAGAAACTGAAAAAATAAAAATAAAAAGTGGGAGGGAAAGAAGGGGAGAACATTTCCAAAAAGAGCTGCTCACAGCAAATGGGCCTTTCCTGAAAAGGGCTTAAAGAAGCTTTTAGAATTTATAATCGATACAAAGCTAATCCCAGATTCTGCAATGTTATAATTCTGGCATACTAGACTTTACTCTTTATTTGCTTCTCCTGCCATCCCATATTAAGTATGGCAAGTAGGTGGAATCAGATTTCAAATTAACTTCTACCCCAGTGTTTCCCAAACTTGACAATTTTAAGGCATGGGGACTTCAACTCCCAGAATTCCACAGCCAGCGTTGCTGGCTGTGGAATTCTGGGAGTTGAAGTCCCCATGCCTTAAAATTGTCAAGTTTGGGAAACACTGTTCTAACCAATCCAAAAGGAATTGCGAGAGACTGAAGTCAAGAAATAATAAACCTGGGAAACGTAGACATATAAGTGAAACCTATCTGAATAAATAATAGTATCCTGTGGCATACGAATATTCTCCAGTTCAAGTTAAGAAAGATGAAAATATTGTGCCATCAGGCACATCTCCTGTTTCAAAGTACTAATACCTCCCGAGCAGAACAGGACAAGGCCCATGACTGTACAGAATTTTTCACTGGTTGACAATGGGAGAAAGTTCAGATAAAAATTGGAGAGATGGATGGAGTTCACCTGCTTTTCATTTCTAAGTTATCACATCTTAAAAGTATATGGCAAATGAGAAGAGGTTTTGGGGACTATATATGAGGTTATATATGAGGCTGCTATGTAATGTTTGCCTTCATAAGTAGTTATCCTGCACATTCAGGCTTCAAACTACCCCACTCTGCTAAACTATCTATGTAGGGAACAAGCCTGTTTATGGCCCAAACAGTGAGATGTATTTATAAACTGAAAAGAAAAAAAAAAGAGTCCATTCTCTCTTTCCCAGTTCTTCCTTTTTAGGCTGTTTCTGTGAAAGCAACAGGAACAATTTTGCAGATGTTTACCTTTTGCAAATTTATTTGCAAGGCTACATTAGGTTATTTGGCAGTAATTATGTGAAAATAAACCTTGCTGTTTTGGTTCAGGCCAAAGGAACTCAGTTAGTAGTGCTTAACTAAGGCTGGGTGAACTCCAAAATCTGACTTGAACTCCCTGATAACAATTTATCTAAGAAGTTTTTTTCTTCAGTGAAAATTCCATGATGTAGTGAATTTATACAAGGATCACTCAGATCATTTATGTCATCATGATGACTGTACTTGTGGGTGAAACTGTTGGTATTTAATAAGTTCGGCTCCATTAAATTTATATAGTTCTGCCCCAGATTATCTCTTGTTATATCTCAGACAATAACTGAGGAACAGGTGTACATGTGTAAGCTTCCTATATATCTTGCAGCACTGCTATCCTTGTACACAAGCAACAGCTAGTGCTAGGATTTAAAAGATGACATAATTGGGCTGAAACACTCAGGAGAATTAAAAAGGTATCCCACAGACATAATAGAACTCCCCAAGCACCATTTTGGCAGTTTTCTTGGCTTCTAAAGACTGTGGAAGAAGTGAATAGACGCTAGACTTCTTGCCTGCTGGAGAGGCCAACTGAAGCTGCCAGTGATAAATTCAACACCTACCTGCACAGAAACCACCAAAGTTAACAACAATTCCTTTTCATTAGATATTTCTTCGGGTACATCTAATAGTACATACATTGAGAAAAAGCCTACATTCGTGAGTCCAAACAAGTGCAAAACACAGGTCAATAGTGTTCTCAGAGAACAATGGTTTTGATTCTTGTGAGAGCCTTCATAGTGCAGGGTAATCAAATGTAACAGTAGATCAGGATGAGGATGCTTTCTGTTTCTTCTGAGCATATCAGTCCAACCCCAATCGGTGAAAAGGATCAATTCATGTAGACTGCAGATTTGTGTCCACCCCAATGCATAGCCTTCAGCACACCTGCTCTCATTAATCTGTATATTAGAAGAAGGCAGAGCTGAAGTCTCAAGGCTCACAATGCTTATGGTTCCAAATATATATTCAATTACCTTATTGCTGCCTGACCCCCAAATAAAATAAATCTCTATAATAAAATTAAGGACAACTGAGGGGAACAGACTTGTTTATTCTTACTAAATGAGATCAACATCTATCAAAATGAGCAACTAATATCAACCAAATCTTGGGTATCTTCAGGAAATCCACGTGCAGAGCATAATAGGGACAGCCATTCTCTAATGCTCTGGAATAGTCATTCTCTGTACAAAGCTATCATGGTTGATCTGCCTTTTGTGATCCTTAGTGATGGCAATCTGAAAGAATTAATAACAGGAGGGAGTTGTGGTTCAGTATTACTCCTGCAATCATAAAATCAGTCAGTACTGAATAGCTATTATGAATTGTTTTAATACAGCCTCTTTCTAAAAGAAGGATGACCCTGAATTTAAAACATCGTCCTTCCCCCATTCAAAGGGGATTTTATACTAAAACCAATTTATCTGCCTCAATTATCTTGTTCTGAGGTAACAGAATTGAAAGGAATGAGCCCTTCCATTTTAAATATAAAGTGTTAAAAAAAAAAGTCTTCCTTTCAGGTAAATGCAGTTGACTTCAAACGTTCAATATTTGTTTTATTAGAATAATTATAACAACAGGATAACCTAAAATACTCGTCATCAATAGGATCTTTGTTCCTATTGATAGTCAGACCTGTTCCAGGAAGTTAGTAGAGAAAAATAAATAAATTTTATCAGTGTTTGGTTTAAAAAGTATTGGCTCACAATGGGAATGACTGTATAAGTAGACAGGGGAGATAAACTTCTGAGTGCTCACAGGCCACAATTAATGATCATAGCCTTTTGGAGGCTGCAGGAAATCTTTCAAAGACATGCTGATGTTTTAATTCCCTCCCTTTTTTTCCAGGCACTTAAGGGTGGGAGTAGGAGCAAAATAGCCCAAAATAAGGATGCTGAAAATCCTTGAAAAATTGATTTAAGGACTATATACTGGTAGTAACATCCTGGACTTTCTAGGGGGACAGTGGGAGGTTGAGAACAGAAATAGGAATAGCTCTCAGTTCCTGGAAATGTCCTGCTTACACTAGTATTCTCTAGATACATATACAAATAGGAATTGCTTCCTCTGACACTTCTGATAAAGGTGACTATTAACTCCTCTCAAAAAATTTACTCCCCAGGCAGTCAATGTTTGCTCAGATTATAAATTGTTGATAGAATCCAAAGCTCAGGAAGCACAGAAATACCATAATGTGTACTATAAAGGATAAATTTCAAAAAAGAAAATAAAACCAGTCTCATAAACTTCTGATACCCCCTCCCATCTTGACTAAATTGTAGTATGTTTTCCATTTGCAAAAAAAGCAACCCCATCATACCTTTATTTCCCAAGCTGTGATATTCAGGCCCCATAAATAATTAGATCCATCTCTGAGTGGTACATCTCCGAAAATGCTTAGCAAGGGTTTAAGGGGCATCTGAAGTGTCCTTATAATAGGGGCCAAGGCAGGCGACTTCCAGCAGTCACTTGGAACAAGGGCTGATCACTGTTGGAGTAGGGGGATAAACCAAAGCCACATTCACTCGCTCGTTACCATTCTTCGGACAGATGATCTCAGTCACTCCCTCTGGCCTGGGTTGACTTAGCAATTCTCCTGAAATAAAGAGAATAGAGTATGCTAAGGTAACAATTTTGCATTTTGTTTCAGGTTTAGATTCACAAAGGTGGCAAATTTCCAGTCAGCTACAGGAAGACATAGCTGAAATGTAATTGACCAGTTGAAGATGAACATAATAAAACAAAATCACCCAATATAATGACAATATTGATAAAATCGGATGGCTAAAGCATTATAAATGTCCTTAATGAAAATTAATATGCATCATTCATTCTACCTTTCTAACACCTAAAGCTTTGTAAACTCCAGACGTATTTTCCCTAGTTGTCCATTTTTGCACAAGGAAATACCAGAAAGAGACTGAAATTCAGAAGACATACAGATGTGCTCCCTAAGACTAAGGTTTAAATAAATAAACTATAATTAACAGATATGAAAAATACTGGAGGCAGACAAAATACAAATTCACAACTTTAACCTTTCTCAATATACAAAGATTTCTTAGACATTAAAATATAGTGAACTCATATGAAGCAACCCCAAATATACACTTAAGAACAATCTACTAGACAAGAACAAGGTGTATTCATGTCAAGAACGTATATAAGCATCTGGCTATTTATGTTGTACTATGTTACATAGAAATAAAAAAAGAATTCTATTTCTACATCTCTCCCACAAATCCCTGGCTGAATAAATCATTTAAGAAAGAATTTTGAACAATATATTAAAAGATTTTAAATGGTGAAAAATCCATAATAATATTTATCTTCCTTTTCTGATTAAGGAATAACTTACTTGTCTGAGCATCTGTGCTATTTTATTTTTCATTTTATCTCTTCTACATAATCCCACAGCATCACAGAATTTCTGCCACAACAGTAAAGCTGGCCACATGAATTACATAAGCCACATGTGATAAATGATAAATACATACAATCATAAATGATAAATACATACAATCATAAATGTGTCAAACTATGAAGATGAAAAATAAAACAAAAAAACAATCCTCTTGAAATACATATAAAATCAGCCTGTGACTTCATCAAGTGGCCACTGCCAAGTCTTGATATATTCTGCATTCCCATTTTCCCTTCTGTTGTGGCTTATTATATTAAACTGGCTTTCCAAATAAACTGAGAATAAAAGTTGACAAAAGTTATAAGTAGCAATCCTGCTGCAGTGTCTATTCTTGAGGTTATTTAGAGGCATCAAAGCCTGCAATTCCATATTATGGAAGAAAAAGCCACATATGGAGTGTGGACTCAGCTCTCCACAACTCTCTTAAAGCTGTTCTTTAAACTAGATGCTGTGCAAACTAGATTTCAGAGATGCAAAGATAAGCATGACAGCATACAAATGAAAACCACAGAAATCTTAAGAAAGGTAGTTGAAACAAGGTTGGGAGTGCCCTGCATGATCTTATAAGATTTTATGTAAATGCCACTGTATAAAATAATGTTTAAAATTCATAATAAATTACCGTAAGCAAAACGGTGTCCAAATGGTCTGTGTTGTACTACTGAAACAGGTAAGGAAGTATTCCTTAATTATCTTCCACCCTACCATGAACTATCTCACCTGCCTGCTTTCTTTTCTTTCTATTGCAGAAAATGAAATTAATTATGAAAGAATTATATAAGCTGTGTGGATGAGATACTTTACCACAAGTATCTCTCCTTAATTGTTTGTCAGGGATACTTGGAGCTTTCAGTAGAGGCCAGTTGTTTGAAGTAAAGAAGAAAGATCTTTAGTGGGTTGTTTGCAAATGTGTTTAGTTGTTCACAGAACATTTGCTTGCAGTATAGATTCTCCCTCCTGCACTTCACATTCTACAAATCTGATTTGAAACATTGGGAAATTCTCTGAAGCATCTGTTGGCATCATGAGGAGGGAAAAGCAAGGCCAAATCCCATTGCGCAATCAGAAGCTCACTTGCGTAATATCCAACATGTCATTTGGTGTTTTAGTTCCTAAGAAATCTGTTCCTAGAGAACCGCATTAGTGCTTGTCCTAGCTTGTCTTTATATAACATTATTATTAAAGCAAGTTTTATATCTGAATGTGTTCTCAACCTTTTCTTTTTCTCAGCCAGAACATTTACTGGTTTAATTTTGTATTCTTTTTATGTTCATCAACTGAAACACTTGTGGTTTTAAGAAGAAAATTGAATTGACATATATGTCTTCTTAACAACCGGTTCATAGGAAAATTCATTACAGTTCAGTTCTCATTAATGTGTTAGATCAGTCTGGACTAATGCTAACCCACGAGATACTTAAGAAAAAATGTCTAACTCCATTCTAGTTGTCTTCACCGCCAATAGAATATTGTCTTCCAATAGCGTGCATTCTTTTTATATGTAAAGATGTATTTTATTCATTCCTATGAATGATGATAATTCACTGTCCTTTAAAAAAAAATAGGCCAAAATTTTGTGCTTGCCCCATCTCATTGCATTTAACAAGGTCACAAATCAGTAGAAATAGTTTCACAATGCAAATAAAAAGGTGACAATTTGAATTTTAGGAAAAAGCACTTCAACATCCAACACCTGCAAAATAAAAGATTGCCACAGAAAATAAGCTTCTCTGAAATTGTATAGATTACCTTTGCTATATTGAGTTCCAACATCATCAAATAAGTAACATTTGGAAAGTAAATCAATATATTTGTGAACTTTTTGTGCCTGTAAGTGCAGGTGCAATTTTCATGTTTAGGTCAAGAATTACTAGATGTGCATTATTTATTACCCAAATTGCTTGCATGCAGCAGCAGCTTCTACAAGCATTATTACAAAGAAGAACTGAAAGGGGAATGCAGTTGTTAAGCTAAAGGAACAGTAGCAAAATACACTGGATTTCTCAGAGGACACAGCTTTTGATTGCACAGAGATCAGGCACTCTTAGCTAAACCCATCACTTCAAATGGTATTCAGAATTGGCTATAAGTTAAGAGAAGAATCAGCATCCATACTCTAATTAACTACAATGTATAATCACTGAGCAGCAAGATAGTTTATAATTCCAGAAATTGCACTAAAGACTTACTAGTGCCATTCAAATGAGCTGGGATTATATACAGTAATATATAATTCCTATTCTAACCAGCATAAAAAAAAATACAAATGACTCGAAATTATGCAAGCTGTGGTCTAATATATTTGGAAAGGCAAAAAAAAATAAAAAATGGTACACTCTTTAAAATGACTACCTCTTCTCCCTCTCCTCACCATTTCTACCCAGCTAAAACATAAGTGAAAGAAGGGAAGAAAATTTCTTATGTTTATTTATACATTTTCCAGTTATTACAATATTCTACATATGTATCTACCATTTTTCCACATAGATTTGACAATTAATGTTGCTATGATTAAATTGAGGTTGGCATTTATTTCACTGGCACCAATTTCCTTCTACTTTTATATTATTTTTATGGAGAAATAAGGCAAAATAGAGTAGGATAAAGGATCCTTTTTATAGTGTTACAGTCATCCCATTTTTGCTGACAGTAAACTTATTTATCAGGTCTCGTATTATTTTAAGGCAAGAATTTGCAAAGATGCTTAAATAACTGTCAGTTCAGGGTTCTTCAGACTCATCATTTCATGAACATGATGAATGGGTTTATCCCAGTGGTTCTCAACCTGCGGGTCGGGACCCCATTTGGGGTCAAACGACCATTTCACGGGGGTCACCAAACAACACAGTCCGCCATTTTTTTCCCCTTTTCCTTAGCTGTGCTACTCCCTTTTATTCTATTGGCTTTTGAAAGCCAATAGAATAGACTCTCTTGAATAGAGTCTAATTCTATTGGCTTTCAAAAGCCAATAGGAATTGTCCAGGCTGTCTCTGCCCTGCTGAGCCCGCCAAAAATCCCATTCTGCAAACGGTGCTGCACCAGTTGAGTAGTCCTTGACTTACGACCGGTTGAGTAGTGCTCGACTTACGACCGGTTGGGGGTCGCGGCACTAAAAAGGTTGAGAACCACTGGTTTATCCTAACAGGCTAAGCCTCCAACAATTTGGTTTTCTTAATTACCATGGACAGAAATGCCAGATACTGTACTAGCAAGCTAAAATGCAATTTCTGAGCAATATATACTGCTCCAAATGAAATAGGTACAACTTCCAACATATCTTATAGAACAATACATCTGGATCAGGAGTCTTCAAAGTTGGCCCTTTTATGACTTGTGGACTTCAACTTCCAGAATTCTTCAGCCAGCGTGCCTGGCTGAGGAATTCTGGGAGTTGAAGTCTACAAGTCATAAAAGGGCCAACTTTGAAGACTCCTGATCTAGATTCTGACAAACTGATCAGAGCTACATGCAGGGTCCGATTTGCACCTGACCAGCTGTACTTCCTGCCAGAAAGCTTAACTAACATCTGAAAAAAGGAGTCCTGGTTTACAGCTCCAAATACTTGATGGCACATTCCAAAATTGATGTGTTAAAATAAATTAAGTCTATTTTTGAATGCTATTCACTTGGGAAACACATACAAGGCACTTTCTGAATTGTTTAAAGTGTAGGATATATGAAATAAAATATATATTCAGTGCCGTAAACAAAAACAATTGCTGAAATTCTTCAGTAAAAATGAAAATACATTTTGCGCTACTTTCAAGAAGAAATGGAAGCAAATCTGATTTTGTTTTTTGTTTTTAGCGTGGTGATAGTTTATGTGATGATTTTTTGTGTATGTGTAGGGCAAGGCTTCAAAAACTACAACTGCTATCAAATATTAGCTTACTTTGCCCCTTAACGTTCCCCATAAATGAATGAAATCATCCCATTTTAAGGGAGGAATTTAAAGAACGCTTTGCAAAGCTTAGATTAATTTTACCCCTTAACTCCCCAATAAAATAATCTTTTCCCCCAAGTATTCTGAGCCCTGAAAATCGGATAAAAATAGGGTTTTTGACATAAGATGCACATACGGCTCACTTCCGATTTAGAGAAGCTCATCTGTTCAGCTACTACCACATCACATTAAATTGTAATGTGGTTTGTCTGCTTCTGACATATCCCAA